GCCCCCTCCTCCTCCCCAAGAGCCCGCTGTCTCTGTGTGTGTGTGTGTGTGTGTGTGTGTGTGTGTGTGTGTGTGTGTGTGTGTGAGAGTGTTTTCACAACTCTCTCGTCTTCCCGCCTTTTTCTTTTCTGTCCCTCCACTTTCATTCAAAAATCTTGCTCTAAGTTCAGTTTAGCATTAATACTGGACATGGCATTAGCAGAAGTGTTTGTACCTTACTTGTGTACCATATATTCTGTTTAAAGCCACAGTTTGCAGAAGAATGGTTTTGTCTTACATTTTGTTTGCCTGTGCTTTAGGAATGAAGTAAAATAGTGGTAGTAACAGAATAATCAAGTAATTTTATTCATATGTTGAATTAGCTTTTATTTTAAGTTTAAGGTTGAGTCATTTTGTTATGTGCTTTCCTAATGCTTGTTCATTTTTTATTTTAAATCATTTGTATTTCAGTTTTAGCTTCAGTCATTTTGCATATTACCTATTTCAGTTAGTTGCCAAGGCATCATTTCTAGTATTTAATCTAATATTTGTTTTATTTGATTTAAATTACTGAAATACCGATTTTTCAGAGTTTGTTAACCATAAAAAAACTGGTGCAAAATACGCCAATGATCTCTTTCTCTTTTGTAGGTGGCTCAGCTGTTGTTGAGCAGTAATATGGTTGCGTCTCTGTTAGAGGGAGATCGGAAGGACGGGTCAGACTCAAACTGTAACACTCCTCTGCACCTCGCCGCTCGCAACGGACACAAGGACGTCATTCGGTGAGCTCTTGGAAACCTCTTGTGTGTGTAGCACATCTGTAGGCATCAGTCTCAGCTGTGTCGAGCTGTCCTTTCTCTCTGGAGAGATGCGTGTCTCAGCTCTGCTGTGTTTTTACACTTCATTTGATTCTCCAGCTAAGATGTTTTCCACAGCTGTTAGTACAGAAACACTGCTGATATAATGTAAAAATGACCCTTGTAATACATTGTGATTGGATGACCCACATTCATAATTAATATGCACACCTGCGAAGACACGGATTGAATTCTGAATTGATGCACCAAGTTGCAGCGTTGCTTGTTAGCATCTCATACCGTCCCTGGTGTATTTGACTGTTTCTTCAGATAAACAAAGAATTAACAATAATCCATCTCTGTGAGTCCATGTAATGAGGGTGAATGAGTGGCCAAATGTTTAACACCTTAAAAGCACACATGGTCATCATGACGATAATCCATACGACCTCAGCGGACGAGTAAAATCTTAAGTGAAACAATAGGTGTTTGTAAGAAAAATACAAAAAAATTTTTTATTTGTTTTATAGTAATTCTTATACTGTATAGGACATTGTGAAGTAGGCATGGGCCGGTATGAGATTTTTGGCGGTATGATAACCTTAAGCAAAAATATCACGGTTTCACTGTATCACGATATTGTCGTTACAGCTCTAAAATGTGTTATTTTTAAATGACTGGGTAAAAAAAAAACTTTTTCCGCAGAACACAATATATTTTGTTTTTGAGCAACATACAGAATATTAGGAATAGATATCTGATTTCTTTGATTTGTTTCCTAACAAGAAGAAAAATAAAGACTTGCATCTTTATTTAACCTAAATCTGTAATTACAGTTATTTAATTTTAGTTATATAACTCATATACATATCATTTATTTGATATAATTTCATATAATTTAGTTATATAATTTCATATACATAATTTGATTTAATAATAACCCAATTTGAAGCAAAAACAGAATGTTCTGACTAGCTTTGTGAAATTATACTACATGCCTGAACGAAACAAACAGCAGAAGCTCTGAATGAGACGCATATTCACTCTCTGACAGCAGGAGGCGCTCCTGGAACACCAGATACGGCGTTTCCTTGCTTACCGCTGAAAACAAAGCATACAGAGACGAGATTAAAACAAAGTACCACGTAAACTTTTCTGAAGACAGTCAGTTCCCCTCAGAAACACATTCATGTAAACCCCCAAATCAATATTGAGGATTTTCTTCCAATAGTTTGTGCATCATGAACAGGGAGTGATCTGCCTGCTACAGTATTTTTCTCTGTGCGTCTTCAGCGTCTCTGGCCTCTTTAACGGGTGTTTACAGACTTCATATTTTCACATAAATTACATTTTTCGAAAATTGCGTTGCATTGCAATGCAGTTTGTGCAAGTCCAGAACAGAGACGAGTTGCTTGCAATAAGACAAAAAACGTCTGGTTGCTGATTGCGTAAGTTCCAGGGACAGCTCCTTAAGTTCGGCCGTCCTCCACACACGTGACTGACCGCTCGCTCGCACCAACAGGAGGAGGAGGGTCGTGTTACTCTCTACACTGCACTCAACCTGAGGGATTCCTACACTTTCAGTCTTTGAGGAGACATGAAAAACAGCGCATACTGCAGGAACGGTATAACGGAAAATATTAGCGGTTTTGAAACCGTGAAATTTTCAAATAGCGGTATACTTTGAAACCGGTAACCGGCCCATGCCTAATGTGGCGGATCCTCTTCTGTGTCACTTCGCATGTGAGTTTCACAACGCGTTTGTGATACTTCTCAGCATGCGTACATTATGCTTCTCAACACACATTACACTTATGACGAGTTCACACTGCAAGATTTTCAAAGTCGTTGGATCACCGTTGTTTTCTCACTGCACGACTATCAGTTGTGGCTGTGTTCACATTGCACGATGGATCGGCGACAGGAGGTTACACACTGCATGACTTTACAATAGATAGAATCGCCGACAACTCTGTCAGGTCCGCAAACTACACTTCATATAACTCCTCGCCGAACTTCCTGCTGCCCTGTATCTTGCTCTCTCATTGGCTGTAGGACACAGCAGGATTTGGAATCGCTGACAGGTCCAGATATTTAGCATGCCAAAAATTTCACAGGCATCTGCAATTCTCTCAGATCGTGTCTTTGATAATTCACACTGCATGATTTTCACTCTCATGAACGAGCACCGATTTGCCTCAAATTTCGAACTCTGAACTGTTGAACTCTGCATAACCAAAAGCGAAGCGAATGTTCATATCGCGTTATCGTTCTCGATGCCGACAACTCTGTCAGGTCCGCAAACTACACTTCATATAACTCCTCGCCGAACTTCCTGCTGCCCTGTATCTTGCTCTCTCATTGGCTGTAGGACACAGCAGGATTTGGAATCGCCGACAGGTCCAGATATTTAGCATGCCAAAAATTTCATAGGCATCTGCAATTCTCTCAGATCGTGTCTTTGATAATTCACACTGCGTGATTTTCACTCTCATGAACGAGCACCGATTTGCCTCCAATTTCGCAAAACCTGTCGAATTCTGAACTGTTGAACTCTGCATAACCAAAAGCGAAGCGAATGTTCATATCGCGTTATCGTTCTAGATTACTCGGGAGATGTTTTTCGTGTTATTCGTGTGAATGAAAACATTGCGTAATGCTCTCCTCCATTTTCTAATAAAACTGGATGTGTCAATCAGCTAGCTCTTCATTTATTGGCTTGCATGACAACGCATCATGCAAATTTTCCACTCGAGTTGAAATTTCTCAACTTTCGCGGAAGACACGATTGAGGCATATATCAGCGGCGCAATAGCACCACCCGGCGCGAATTTGCATCTATTTGCGTCTTTGCATTGACTTTGGCTATGTCCGAAAACTCTAAAATGCTGCCTTCAGAGGCAGGAAGGCATCAAGGCATGTTCGAATCCAAATTCTGCTTTACTTCCTGTCTGCGGAGGTACCTTCTTCTGATCGAAATTTGAAGGCAGCATAGATGTATCCTTCGCTGCCTTTGATATCCCACAATCCTGTGCATTCCATTCCGTGACGGTTGAGCTAAAAAATAAAGATGGCATCTGAAAGTTGCGTCTGGTGGTCAGTTTGTGTGTAAATGTATATTTCTGACTAACTTTTAGCACTTTTGATGTTATTTCTAGCGAGAAATCAATATTATTAAATATTCGTGTAGCTATCACAAAAACTTGTTCTATTTTGTTGTAGATCATTAAACCGTCACGCTGCCTCAGAAGCCTGTCCGAAATCAGTTTCATGAGGTGCCTTCGTGCAAAAACGCTGCCTGCAAAGTCATTGCCTCATATGGCAGCAAGTCATATAACTAAGTTTTCGGATGCAGCCTTTGTGTTCATGTGCTCATGTCATGCTTCACAACACTCTTAATGATACTTCATTCAATGATACTTATATGAATCTTCTTAACATGCTTGCATGACACTTCTCAACACTTTGTGATGTTTACAAGGCACATAAATAATGCTTTGAAACGCACATCACGCTTCGCAACATTCTTCATAATACTCTTATGTGACACTTCGCTACGTGCTTACTTGGAGCTTTACTATGCACTTCTGTTTATGTCAAACATAATCTGTAACCTCTCTGGAACACTCGTATGGCAGTAGGCCGGATACATTGGTTTATATTTCATAAAAAGCTAGTCAGATGACACCTTACCACAGCTGCAATGAATGATTCCCTTAAATATGACACATACTTTGAATATAGTTAAGTAGGTTTTTTTAGTTTTGACATAAAACACACCCGCTGCGTCATCCCAGCAGCACAGCAGACAGACACTGTACCCGCACAGAAGAGGATGAGACTGGGAAAGTCCTGGTTCCAACAGACAGTCAGTGTTCTCTCTGACTCACGTTCACCCACATGATCGTCCTGAGGGAGAGGAGCGTCCCAGTCTCCCTAAATATGTGAGGATGTCTGGGAAGAGTGCATTTCTGAGTGGATTAAACACTGCTGTGACTCATCACTCTCATTTACAAGGACATACAGCACTTTCTGTATCAGATATCATGATATCAGAAGCCCATTTCTGCCACATAAGAAAGAAGAATATTTGGTAAATCATAATTATGAAATAAAAAGTCATAATTATGACATTAAAAGTCAAACTTCTGTCTTGTGTATATATGACTTTTTATGTCATAGCAAATCATGCTTTGGTAAATTAGAATTTTTTTTACGAGGCAGAATTAGGCTTCCATAGACATTTGTATGGTAAAAATATTTCTTAAATATGTAAATGAAGTATATATTTTATATAATAATCATGGCAGTATTTATTATATTGCATTTCATTTATGATAATTTAAATATTGTATCAAAGTAATGATAGTGTAATTAAAAAAAATTTGAATTACCAAAAAAACTCACATTACAGTATGTGTGAGAATGAGAATAATGGCACAATTCCAAAAAGTAAAATAGAATCTGGCGATAATTTTCACATTTGACATTTGTGCAGTGTGATTCATTTTTAATTTGCAGAGTAATGACATGACTGTCTGTCTGTGTGGGTGCGTGCATGCGTGCGTGCGTGCGTGTGTTTCCTACGGCTGTCACACTAACAGATCACATCCTAATGCCTGGCATTCCCAGTGCAGCACTGAAAATCCATCCTGCATTTCGACAGATGAGCGTCTCTGATTCCACCTGATGTGTGTGTGTGTATGTGTATATGTGTAAATTCCACAAGTCTGTGTGTATTACAGGCCCTTCAGTATGTAAATATAACATAGAATGCTAAAGAGGATGTCGTCTGCTCTCTGTAGAGTAGTAGTACACTATTGCCGCCAATTCATTCATTGAGTTTCCATCTCTTTCTGTCTCCAGGCTTCTTCTAAAAGCAGGTATTGACATCAACAGAACCACTAAAGCTGGCACAGCCCTCCATGAGGCCGCTCTCTATGGGAAGACAGAGGTAGTGCGGCAACTCCTGGATGTAAGTTCATCTGTTTTTTGGAGACGTCTCTACTACAGGGGTCACTGTCCTTTCTGACATTAAGTGGCTTTTAATTTTAGCTTTTGAATCAATCGCTGTCCAACAGAAAATTTTTTGTAACATCCTGTCATATGCTTCTTTTTGAACATTTTGTTTCACAAGCAACAAAACTAATAAGTTTATGTCCTCTGTATTTTGTATGTGGATCGAATCCAGAATCATTTGAGGAGGAATCAAGATGCATTAGTGATTCGATTTTTCCACACTGAATGTGCTTCTGCTATTCGACAGACAACATTTACCCGTCTTAATGTTTGTTTCTTGTGATGGCAGAATGGGATTGATGTCAATATCCGTAACACTTACAATCAAACAGCCCTAGACATTGTCAACCAATTCACCGCATGTCACGCCAGCAAAGACATCAAGCAGCTCTTACGAGGTGAGATGCAATCTGACATTTATTTATAAACTTTTTATAAAATTATAAACTCAGGATTATATAACCTGCTGCTTTCTCTGGCTAGTTTTGAGCACATGAAAAAGACAAAAGACATCTCCTGTGTGTGTTTGTGCAGATGCATACCACAAATCTGTGGGGCCCTCCTATGAAACATAAGACGGGGCTCCACCCACAAGTACTGACGTCATATGTGAACATTTCTATCAGAATGAAATGTTAACAATGACAATCATGTTATTTTGGGCAATTTAGCTTTCTGTTTAGTACCCTTTATTAATTCCCTTTGTAAATGTGGCCTTTAAGAATGCACCTTTTTTAACGGTATCATGCATGATTCCTGCAGGCATACTTTTTAAAATGTAAACTGTGCTTCACACAAAATCCACGAGGTGATGCATGGGCTTGCTTGGGTTGTGTTATGAACTGTGTACTTACACAATTCAGAATGCAACTAGTGGAATCAACTTTACTTCCACAAAAGCCAAATGAACTCTGAAGTCTAGTGTCAACAGACTCAGTCCACACTAAAAGCTCTTAGTCTTTGTAAACACACTATATATATATATCAGTGACGCATGTCCTGGACATTAATGAGTGGGAATGTGAAACATTTCATGTGTGATCTTAATGCATTCTGTAACATCTGCAATATTTATTGCCGTTTTGTACGGGTGGATATACTGTAAATAAATATTTGAAGTGACTGTTGATATGAGACACTCATTCTGTTTGTGTCTTTGAACTCAGGCAGTAAACAGACAGCTCTTATCATAATGAGCAGAGACAGGCCCGTCTGCTTTAACCAGAGCTGCTCTGTGTGTGTATGTGGGCCACAACGCTTCCCTAAACCTCTGACAGACTCAGATAGTTCATTATTGATTCAGTGAACCTGCTGTGTGTCCGTGTGTCAGCACATTCTTTCCACTGGAATAAAATCACAGAAATGACACACTGAGAGCTTCACATGGCGGGACCTCACTAGACTAGTTTTAGGAACACTAAGCTATACAATTTTTTGCATTTGCATTTTTATAACATTTCTCCAACAAATTCTCATGAATAAAAATACAATGGGTAAGTGTACTTAAATAATTAAGAAAATCAAGCACAATATAAATTACAGTAATAGTAATATATATATATATTTTTTTACATTTTTTATATATATTTTCAAAAGAAACTGGGGGGAAATGTGATTAAATATACAAATAACGTTTGTAATGTGGACAAATCTCAGTAGACCTACAAGGTTTTTTTTTACAAATTAAAATATGTGTATTTATAGCCTTTTTCTTTATAAAGGATAGAAAATACTGTTTGTACAGTATAAAAACCATTATGCCAATGGAGAGTTCCCATAAAACATGGAAACGTGTGTGTGTGTGTGTGTGTGTGTGTGAGTGTAATTTTCTTATTTCTTCCTTTTGATTTTGAGCTGGACAATTTCATGAGATTTAGCAATGTATTATAATGTACAGTAGGTGGTATCTTCCAGTATCTGAACTCTCTGAGCTATGTGAATTTCTGTTTTTGATCCAACACATATATGTGTGTGTGTTTCCAGAAGCTACAGGAGTTCTTCAGGTCAGAGCTCTGAAAGACTTCTGGAACCTTCACGACCCCACGGCCCTCACCATACGCGCCGGTGATGTCATCACGGTACGGCCGCTTACATGACTTCATAAAACCTCTTCACAGTGTGTGTGTGTGTGTGTGTGTGT